TATAACTATCATAGTTTCATTTATAAAATTTTTACAGGATATTATTCACATAATGGTGATTATGTAAAAATATATTTATGGCTCTCGAATAATTTTTAAATTGTTGTGAGGGACAGATTTGGCTCTTCCAGGGGTCGGCAAACTTTTGAAACGGAACTTACCCAAAGAGCCGCACGTGGCTCGCGAGCCACAGTTTGCCAACCCCTGCTCTCGGGCAATCACCTAAAAGTCAGCCAGCTGTCTCAGATAGCCAGAACTCCCAAGAAAGGAGGGAGTTTGCCAGTAATGACAGGAGCATTACCTGTAGTTAAAAGCAAAAAAATAGTGGAGTCACTATACTAGCTCACCACGGGTGTAGAGAACAAATAATCTGATGCTGAAGATACCCCAGAACTCTACTAAATCCTGAAAGACCTTCTAGTTCCTGAGTAACATCCCCACCTCCATGATATCTGACCATGGGGTAGGTAATCCTTCTTCCCTCTACATCCTTTGTTTTCCCAGGTAGTGGGGAGGATTAATAAACCAGATTCCTTATAACCCAAAAACTATAACTACCACATTTAGGAAATCCAAAACAAAAAAAGGGACTAGAAAGAAAAATTGGAAACTGTGAAAACCTAGATAATCCAGATTCTTTCTTCTCTGCACACATCAGTAAAAGATAATCCATCATATTGTGTAAATGGAAAGAGTAGGCCATCACTACAGCACACAAGTTCCCATAAGATAAGGTCCCATTATGTAAACTGATGACTGAGAAGGTTATAGGAAGAAATGAAAATATTGGCCTTATATTTTGTATGATCTGTAAATATTAAATCCTTTCCTTGTCTCAAGAGTTTCCCCAACTGAAAAATGTCAGGGACGCTTGCTAAACACCCCATCAAAACCTCATTCTCAGAATTACACAAGCTGGAACAAAATTCTGTGATTTAGTTGTTAAACAAAGGTCACTGATATAACAAAACATGCTATCCGAATAAAATTACTCAGATTAAATAATAAAATCTAATTTTAAATTAACACTGAGTGGCTAAAAAGTTAAAATAATGATTAAATATAGATTGATAGAAGGATTAATTAATTAAATATAATACTTGACCGTCAAGTATTTTATGTTCTTTCCATGAACTGAAAAGTGGCTCAGTGCCTCATCTTGATAACTGATAAAACAGCTGCTCATTTCTCACCCAGTTCTACCTGACCAGAAACATACTAGGATAGGATAGCTTGGAAGGGAATGAGACATGAGGTAAATGTAAAATCTTTAAAAGTGAGGATCTTTATACAAGAGAGTAAACCAGATCAATATTTCATTTTACACAAAGAATATTAATCCTGAAATAGGACTTTCTCCTTCTAGACTCTCTTCCCAGTCTGTGTTTTGTTACATTTACAAATATTCAAAACACCCTTTAAGAAAGTACAGACATACCTTGGAAATACTGTGGGTTTGGTTCCAGACCACCACAATAAAGTGAGTATCACAATAAAGGGATTCACACAAATTTTTTGGTTTCCAAGGGCATATAAAAGTTATGCTTACACTATACAGTGGTCTATTAAGTGTGCAATAGTATTATGTCTTTAAAAAATGTACATACCTTAATTTAAAAATACTTAACTATTTAAAAATGCTAATCACCAACTGAGACTTTAGCAAGTCATAATCTTTTGGGGTCTTACCTTCAATGTGTAAAAACAGTAGTATCTGCAAAGCACAATAAAACGAGGTCTGCCTATAGTACTTAAAAACACAAAAGTTCAAAGCAAACTAATTCACAAAGCAGTGAAACTTCCATGCCCCCTCCCCCTCCAAAGTCTCTTATGTGGGAAACCAAAGTAAAAGCCCAAGCAGCTCTGGTCAAAACCCTAGAATTTCTTAGGTACAATTTGAAAGGCACTTAAGTTAAGGAGTGTCCATGAAGCATATTTAAAAAAAAAAAAAAAGTCATATGAGAAAACAATTGTTTTCTAAAATTCGCTGCGACCATTTCCCTTCAACATGAGCCAAAGATGAAGACTAGAAATTAGTCTTGAGCAGGGAAAAAAAATAACAGCATTCCTTCTACACTACCAAACCAATAATTTAACAACAGGCTCCAGTGTTTGCAATTTAAACTTTACATCATCCATGAATATCTTTATGAATCAATAAGAGACACATTTTTCTCTAAAAATAAACAGACAAGAATAAATCTCTCTCCTCTGGAAAGCTTTTTTTCCATTGGGAAAGAGCCTATAAAGTAAAAACTAAGTAAAATAACAACATGTACATGTATTTTTTTAATCTAAAGAACAGACTTCTGTAATCTTGAACCAAACAAACCGACTGTTACAAAAAACTTTTAATAAGACAAGCAGTGAAGTTAGAAAATTGACTGGATACTTAATAATATTTAAGAAATCATTCTTAATATTCCCTTAGGTTTGGAAGTGGCATTGTGGTTGTTTTTCCCCTCAGGATTATCTTTCAGATACACCTGAAGGATTTACATATAAAAGGACTCTGAGATTTTTTTGCTTTAAAATATCCAACAGGTGGATGAAACAGGATTGGTCATGTAATAACAATGGCTGAAGCTGGGTAACTGGTACATGAAGCTTCATGATATTCATCTATTCTTTGTATACAGTTGAAGAAAAAAGTCTCCTATGCATCAAAACATCCTGTCAAAAGTAGAGAAATGTTTGTCCCACTAAATCACCCAGAATTCTGCTTATTTTTATTTATCTGATTTGATTAACAATAAGTTCTATTCTGCAAACCAATTAACTTCCTCCAGTAGACCTGTAACTGAAATACAAGACTCACCTTGGTGTCTTTTAATTCCATTCATCTTCTAGATGAGTGCCAGGTGTGCTTATTTTAACTTCAAGACCACATATCCATTTTGAGTCACAATGATGAACTATCACGGGTTGTTTTTTTGTTTGTTGGGTTGTTTAAACTTACTCTCCCTCTTAGTATTTGAACTAAGTTTGGTGCGCGGTATACAAAGGTGAAAAGTAACATATGTTGTTCTCTCCCAGGAAGTAAGCTCTTTCAATGAGAAGCGTTACGTGTCAAACGAATATGACACAGAAAAGTTCCCAAAATTTCGAGATATGTAACTCTACACACATCCTTATGCTCCCACCGCCCAAAAAACCTTTTAACTATGATTAGAAAAGAGCGACCCTGGTTGGTTTGTTTCATCTCCTCCTCCTCTCTTAGGGGAGGTGCTAAAGAGAAGGAACGAAAAAATAATAATAACCAGAGACAGGCCGGAAGGAGAGCGAAAAGCATGGAGTCCGGAGAATCGGTCCTCAAATAACTGAGAACTGAATCCGAATTACAATAGATGAAGTTAAGAAGGAGTTAGATGTTAAACTCCTCAACCTACCTGAGCGGCTCAAGAGTGGAAAACGCTGGCAGTAGGTGCAGCTCATTCGAACTCCCTTCCCTCTCCAAGGATTCACAGGTACAAAGGCGTAAAGAGAACTCTTCTAGACCCTCGCCAATAGCAGCGTGGCAAAAACAACCCCCACTCGCCCGGACCATGTTGGGAGACCCTTCCCGCGGGGCCGGGAACCCCAGAACCACTGCCCAACTCTTCAAGCCGGAGACCCCTCTTTTCCAGGCCGAGCGGGGGGCAGCGGTGGAAGTGAGCTCGGCTGGAGAACCCGCCCGCCACCAAGGCCCTCCACACCCGCCCGGAACTGGGGTCTCCGCCGCGCGCCGCCCACTCGGGGCCCAGGCCCGGTTCTCCGCGGAACTGGCCTGGAGCCTCGACCTCAGTCAGTCCACCCCGCGCCGGCAGGAGCCGCGCGACCCACTGAGCAGTGCCGGCCGCCGCCTCGCGAACCCAGCCACTGGCTACCTGTCTTCGCTCTTGTTTTTCTGCTTCTTCCCCATCGCGTGACAGCGGTGCTCGTGGTCCCAGTCTCTCTATTCGGTCTCTCACAGACCCACTGTCCTCCGGCCGACTTTGGTCTCCGTTCAGCTCCGTTCCCCCTGCGCTGCCGCCTCTCGCACCCGGCTCTCCACAGACCCGCGCTCTGGGACAGGGCACATATGGTGTGAGCTCTCAGTGCGCAAGCGCATCGCCCCGCCGCCTCGGCGTGGGGACGCAGGGCGCGGCTCATCGAGAGCTGGCCTCCGGGTAGAGCGTCTCCAGTTGACCAGCCCGCCAAGTGGGAGCCCGAGCGCCCCCTTCCCGCAAGCGTCCGCCGTGCACCGACGCCCGAGCGGTTTCGAGGTTCTAGAACCACAAGCCGACAATGAAGCGGAAGATTCCCCACATGCGCCCCTCCCCCCGGGGAAAGCCGACGGGGACTGGAGCTTGGTCAGAAGCCGACCTTAGGCTTCCCTTCCACCTTTCAACCTCTACACCTTTGTATTCTCAGCTGCAGGAAGTTCAGTAAAGTAGAACAATGAACCGATGAGCGCTCTGGTTGTTCCCAAAGGAGATAAAACCCAGGACAAAATTGATCCTCTCGGTAACGTTCATGAATGTACAGTCACTAAAAAAATAAAACAAGGGCACACCCATTAAGTCCTCTAAATAGGTAGGTCTTAATGTGTATGAGAGCAAAGTCTAAAATTTTCTGTTAGGGAAGTTATTAGGGAACCTATGAAGGTGGGGAAAATGTTCTATATCAGGATCTGGACGGTGCTGTTACGGGTGTTAACTATACAAAAGCTAATCATGCTATATGTTACACTTTTAAAAAGGAAAATGGTCAATAAACAGGATGTAAATGAATTTAGAGTGTCACTCCTGAGCAGGAGTGTAGCTATCTCATTTCTGATTTAACGTTATGTGGGCTGAGGCTCAAAGCCTAAATGAAAGTCTGACAACTCCAGGCTGAGCAGTAAAAAACTATGTCTCCCAGCATACTTTGCTCCCGCACCCTGGGCCAAGGATTTCGAAACCTCGGGTTCCGGGCCGCGGAGGAAGAGGCGCACGCGCGGAGAGAGAGGCGCACGCGCGTAGGATCGCCGCACGCCCGTCGGATCGCCGCACGCCCGTCCTCCTCTCCCATAGCTCCCTTGGGCGTCGCAGGCTGTATCACGTAAGGGCCTCAGCCAATGAGGAGGCGGAAGTGACGGTCGTTTGGCAGCCACTAGCAGCTGTTGCGAGGCTGAACCAGGAGTGGACTGTTCTCTTGGAGCTACTGATCCATCACTTCTCAGGTATCATCGAGAGCTCAGGTGAGGCAGAGATGGTGTGAAGAAACCGGCCAACGGTTTCCGGTGCTCATGAACACCGCCGCTCAACATCCGGCCAGGGCAGGGGTGGGCGCGGCCCTGATGCCGGTATCAGTGCAGTCGCGGCAGCTTTGGCGCATGCGTCCCGGGAGGCGTTGAAGTCGGGGCCACCTGAACTCTGCCCTCATCTGTCCCTGGTGGAGGGGAGGGAGAGGGGCTCGGAATGGCGAGTATACTTTTGAAGAAGTACCTGGGGTGCAATTAGGAAGGAGGCCTCTTGGTTGTTTGGGCGGGTGCACGTAGGGGGGGTCGAGGAAATGGTTTGGTAATTTGAGGACAAGGCCCTTGCCACCATTCCAGTTGAACTGAAAAAAGGAAGAATCAGAGGCTTGTGGTTTGAAGAATGAAAAGTTATCAGGATCGCTAAAGCATCTCCTTTCTTCTTTCTGAATGCGTTAGAACACCACCACCTGTCCCCAAAGCTGCTCTTGTTAATCGCTTCTGCCCCGAGTTATCTCAGCATTAAATTCTGAGCTCATCCTGTAAAACTTAAGGTATAAGTACCCGCTGTGTCCCTGGTAAGAACAGGTTCTGACATGCAGGTCAGGGTTTAATATACAGCTTTCTGCTTCATCCAGCCCCAAAAGCGAAGGCCACAATCTTAACGACATTTTTCTTGGGAGGTAGGGAATGTAAAACTCTTTTTACTATATTTGAAATATACCTCCTTTAAAATTTTATAGCATTTATGAGGAACTTACAGTTTGATTCATTTAAGGTTAACATTTTCTTGAGCACCTGCTGTGTCCCAAGCACTGCTAGCTCTGGGAACACAAAGATGAAATCGAGTATGCGTTTCAACTGTTTTCCCTGTGAAGAAAAAGGAATCGGAAGTGAAGTTTTCAAGAAAACTATTTCTCTTTAATTCAACATTTATTTTATTTTATTTTTAAAGATTTGTATTGGGGAATTGGGGGATGGGAACAGACTAGTTGCTATCCTTTTGTTCTTCAGTCTAGTTGTGGAGGACGTTGCTTCACTGGCCCAAGTTGGCACCATCATTACGCTCTTCCCGGGTAAGGCAGATAAGTAGCCAGCTTCTGGACAGCCGCTCACGGTGGCTGCTGGCTACACACAGTAGCTGCTGGGCTGCTGGCTACACACGGTAGCCCATGGCAACCCACTGCAGCAGGGGCTGCACCCTATGCTGTCATCTGGGACTCACTGCAGCCCAGCTCCAGGTTGAGCTGTTGTTCAGCATCTTAGCTGTAGAGGGCAGTATCACTGGCCCTCATGTGGGATCCGAACCGGGGCCCTCTGGCTTCCCAAGCCAGCTCTTACCCAACGGGCCACTCGGCCAGCCCTTTAATTCAACATTTATAGAGGTCTGTGTGGACCAGGCTATATGTCAGAAGCTGGGTGGATGAGTTCACAGTTTATTCAGAGTTTTTTAAGTGCTTCGTTAGTGTTTCGTTAGTGTTTGCAAATGTATCAAAGTTAATTGAGATGCAATAGCCACCTGCTTTGATAGGCAAATTATAAATCATATTTCTATGGTAATAACCCAGGAATAAACATAAAATTGCCATCTGATTGTTGATGATGGAAAATAGTACTACATTTCTTTTAAAAATAAGTAATTGACATAGATCTTCCTTTCTAATCTGAATTAGATTCTGTTTTTAAACTCCTGTCTTACATAGAGGGGTGATGGACAAATTGATACTCTTTGTAATATTTAGAGTTATATTGTTTATATCAAAGTTAAGAACACTGAATGTCTAAATCAATACCAATATCAATCTTTGTGGCCTCAGATTTCGTTAGGTAATGGGAGAACAGGAGTGGAATCTATAGCTTGTGGAACACCAGGTGCCATTCTTTACATAAATTGTGAGGGGCTCTCTTAAGAGTTAAAAAAATGAAAATCATTTAAGCAGAGACCATGGAAAATGCGTCTTTTGCTCAGCTCTGCTCTGTATTGAAGCAGAGTTTGATGTGTATGTGTAAAACTTCAATACAGTTAAACTTGATCAGGGTTCACAGTCATTTCTGCTTTGCTTCCCTTTTCCTTTGGTAGAGAACAGCGATTGTCAGTATGTATCACCAGATATAACTCCATCTACTCATTTCTCCCTGGTCCGGTGATGGTCTTAAAGATTTGTCTTTGCTTTAGCATAGTAAAATACAAACAAAATCAGGAGCACCTAAACTTTGCTCTAATTAGTTTCTGAGTGGTGTAACTATAACCTATTGAAAGTTAAATTTTAAAACACTTAAATAAAAATTCTTAAGCCTAACATAAAGTCCTTGACTGTCAATAGCACACTTTGTAGACAACAAATTATGCACTTGCTAGAATTTTTTAAAGTAAGAGAGAAAACCTCACTTACTATTTGCACTTTTTTTCCTCTGTAAACCTTCTCCCCAGCAGCGAGGCTGAGCTGTACCATTTAGAAGGATGGAAGCTAATGCATCTGTTGACATGTTTTCAAAAGTCTTGGAGAATCAGTTGCTGCAAACGACCAAGCTAGTGGAAGAACAGCTGGATTCTGAAATTCAGAAACTGGATCAGATGGACGAGGATGAACTGGAACGTCTCAAAGAAAAGAGACTCGAGGCGCTACGGAAAGCTCAGCAGCAGAAACAAGTAACCTCTCTGCCCTGCTTTCTGAAATTGCTTTAACAATATGCGCCTGACAACTTATATTACACGTGCAGAAATAATTAATTTCAGTCCTCATTTGTAAGGTTTTTTGACCTCAAAGTACCTATCGCTGTTAACAATTTGCCTGGAAAAAAAAGTAGTTTTAAAGACACATTCATAATTAGCCTGATTACTATATTACTCTCCAGTCTTGTAAAAGAAACATGTGCCCAGGATCATTTTCTGAGCTCAGGTTTGTGTAAGTGAGGAAAGAGAACTAGGAAGAGCACTGACAGCAATAGGAGTCAGTGGTTTCCTTTCCAGGTGGTATAATGCCTTTCATAATTGTGCTCGAAGCAAGCGAGATAAGAGCTGTAAGGCAACTTACGTGGAAGAAATTATTCCAGGCATATCCAATGTAACATTGAATTATGTGGCTTACTTATTCAAAAGAATGCAGCCTGGGTCACAAGGACAGGTGGCCACAGCACTATGCTCTTTGGTCTCTTAGAGTGTGAGTGTGGAAAGACTTGTAGATTCTGATCACACCCAACTGTGTTAACTTCTGTAAATTGAATTAGGATCAAAAACTGTTTCCATAGGTTTAAGTTAAATTGAAATACATTCTCACCCACTCTGGTTCCTCTTCAGTTGGCTGAGACTAAAACCTTAGCTTTAACTTTGTGCTACTGTAGCACCTCTTTAATAATGTTCATACCCTCACTGTTTAGAAAAATTGCTAAAAAAGGAAAGACTCTTATAATGTGACTGAGTTTGATTTTGAGTTTTCTGAAATAGGGTTTGTATATGGTTTTGAAACTGAGCTACTTTTCTTAATATAATGCTAATGAGATTCTGTTACAAGCTTATTATTTCATGATCACAGTTAAGCACACTACTGATTGCTAGTGCTCAACTAAAAAAAAAAAGTTGTCATAACTACGATATTTTTGTAGAAAGTACATAGCTACCTGATTTGCAGTGAGGAACATATTATACATTAATGTCTTAAATGAAGTCAGCAGTTAAAAACAATAGTCTTGAATATTTATAGTTAAAAACAAATTGAGGTGGGCAACCTTTAGGGCTTTTTAAAATTACTATACAGATCAATTTTAAATGAATTTGTCATGTAGTACCTAAGAGGGTCCTATTTTAGAGCTTTCATTGCACTTTAATCGATGTTTTTTTATTATTAAAATGTTTTCTGAGGAAGTAGGCAAGAAGCCTTAACGGTATTTTTAGCTACTCTTTTTGAAAGAATAGTATATAGTATAGATTGTATAGTAATTTGGATTTTTTGATCCATGAGAGTATTGGGGAAATCAGTATATACAGTGACATAGCACTTAATAGGCTTGTGTTAATCAATATTCATCAGTCATCCAAGCTCCCTCCTCCTGCTATGGCAGCTAGAGACATAGGAGTTAGGGAGCGGGAGGACAAGGTGAGAAATAGGAGGAGCCCTCCAGAGGCCTTGGGCGATAGCCAGTGAGAACCAGGTGCTGCCCATCAGCTACGCTCAGGCTCTGACCTGCGCTCATCCTGCCTGATCCCATCCATATGTACCTGTGGACCACGTGCTCTGTGGAGGGAACTATAGGACAGTGCTGCGTGAGCAGAGTGACATGGAAGAGATGCCTCAGTTCGTTGCAGGTTCCCCGTGGGCTGGCCTCCCGCTGAGGCAGGTTCAGGTCTTCAGTCTATTGGTTAAATACATGAGAATAAGTAATGAAAAGAAATAACAGCTTCTTTAAAAACAAACACTCTTTTTTAAGGGCAAATGTCATTGATGAGTCAAGAAAGGAATCATGAAATGTCACATGTTAGGGAACTGTATTTGAGAATTGAAACTCTTTATTGTAGCTTTACCAAAGAAATATCACATGAGGAGAACATACCATAGCCATCTGTGAGCATTAGCTGAGCGTGAGCTGATGTGAAATGGATACCAAAATGTTATTGCGTGGGGGCTGTGTTAGTTCAAGCACAGAGGAAGACAGGAGATGGCACTGGCCCCTTTCGAGCTGGACTACTTCTTGAGGGCTGCATTCAGATGTCTGCCACATTTTAACAGGACATGGAAGAATTAGACTGTGTTCAGAGGACAATCAGAAGAATAAGAAGTCTAGATATTGTTTCCTACGAGAAACAGTCAAAAGGAAAAGGAAACTTCAGTGTGAAGGGAGGCCATAGGCAAGAAATTATATTTGAAGGACTAACATGTGAAAGAGAGATTAGAACTTTGCTCCCTAATCTTGGGTCCAAGCTGGGGTCCACAGACCAGAGTTACAGATATATTTCACTTCAGTGTGAGAAGACCTTTCCAAAAAGTACAGAGTACATATACAAATGCATTTTAAGCACATGCCAGATACACTTACAGTTATATTCATGTTGATTGTCTTTCTTTCACTACTACTCAGTGAGATAGTTGCTTCTTGATCCCCACTTTACAAATGAGGAAACTGAGATTCAGAAAGGTTATTAGAATCCATAGCCTAGTAAGTGGTAGAACAATTAATTATTCAAGCCCATGCCCTCTGCCTGAAAACCCAATGCTCCTTTTTATTGAAACCAGTTGCCAGAAAAAGGAAACAAGCTTCCAGTAGAGGTGATAATATCCTGCCACAGGACAGTTTCAAGAGGCTCAGAGGTCTGTCAAGCATGATTGATAAGGGTTGATACATTGGTTTGGGAAGTTGGGGTAGATGATCTGTGAGATCCGTACTATTTCTGGACACCCTGTGAGTGGACAACTTTTTCTTCCTAGTATACTACCCCTTTGGTGGCCAGTATAGGGCAGGTCCCTGCCTCTCCGAGGTCATCAAGAGCAAATTGGGCCCTTGAGCTTCAGAGCTGCAGTAACCCCTCCATCAACCCGACCCCCACCCGCACAGGCTGACTGGCTTTATCTCATGAGCTTTTCTTTTTAATAGCTTTGTAGTAACTTGGACCAAGTGCATCTGATTTGAATAATTTGCATGCAAAAAAAAATGGATGTTTACATTCTAAGTCTCTTGACTCTAAGTTTTTATTTCCAAAGTTCTGAGAAAACATACCATGTTGCCCCAAAAATAAGATCTAGCCGGGGAAGAAGCCCTAGCATGATTCCTTCAGGATATGGAGGGCACGCACCCCTCACATGAGGGTTTTATGACCTGTTTCAGGGAGAAGGGTGCCTTTTCCACAAACTCCTTCGACTTAAAATATTCAGTATGCCAAGGTGCCATATTTTGGCACCTAAAATCATGCTATGGCTTATTTTCCGGCTAGGTCTTATTTTGGGGGAAACAGTATGTTTTAAGTTACTAAGACAGATAATTGTCTTAAATACGAGCCATGCTATGGAGATAGTCACTGCCTGTAGACTATTTTTGCATTGACACCAGAAACTTAGGAAAGTTAATCACTAAAAGGAATTTATTTGTCTACGAGATAAAATCGACTTCATTACAAAATATTGGGGTGATTCGGACACAAACTGTAAAGTGGTACGAAGAGATATTGGAAATGTGTAATATTTCCGTTTTCTTCGAATTAGGAATGGCTTTCGAAAGGACATGGGGAATACAGAGAAATCCCTAGTGAGAGGGACTTTTTTCAAGAAGTCAAGGAAAGTAAAAAAGTGGTGTGCCATTTCTACAAAGACTCCACATTCAGGTAACTTTGTTTCCTTCAGTCACTTTTTAAACATGCTGAGATCTGAATAGAGAGATGCTGACCTCATAGAGAAATTAAACAAAATGAACTACTTCCTAAGTTGTTTCTTTGTACTAGAAGTTTATTCATTAAAGTTAGGTCATTTTTCATTTTAAAGATTAACTTAAAAACCAGTGACATACAAAAGTATAAATGAACATTATTGAAAACCGAGACTATTTCCATATAAGTGGCTGTTTTCCAAATTATATTTTCACCAACTTTAAAAACAACTTAGAATTGTACATTTGAATGTTTTATCAGTGGAACAAGAATTATACTTTTTTTCCCCCACTATTATGATGTAGCCATGAAGAGACAATGGCTTGGCCAGGCTTTTCCCCAGAAGCACAGTTAGAACTGCCAGGCTTGGCTGGAAGGAGAAGAAAGTGATTTCTCTTAAACCAGCCCAGGTCTGTAAACCTCTCTACACAGGCAGATCCCTTGTAAAATAAAACACCCCCCAGAAGAAGTTATGTCTTAAACCAGAGGACTCTAGTCTCTTTTTCCAAGCCCCAAGATTTGATTAGTTACCAACATTTAAAAATTGAGAAATATTTCATTTTTTGAAAATTTCGATTTCAGAATTGAAAAAAGAAAGCAAACTTGATAATAACAGACCTAGAATTCAGTATGAAGGCAGTTTGCTGATGCTGAGGAGAGCTGTCCCTCTTAGATGGTGATACGACCAGTGTATTCTCCATCATTCACTGTCATCTCAGCCCTGCCCTCTACTTTCATAGCTGGCCTGGCCCTTGTCTTAACCTCACCACCCAACAACGTGGCTGTTAACACCTTTCAGGGATTGATTGGCTGAGACTTACTAAGAAAATAAAAATCAAAGAAAATATTGAGATCGTGGAATCATGGGGGAAGGGATTAGGAAGGTAAAGAGCATCAAAGAAACCCTCTGCCATTGCAGTACACTGTCATCTCCCACTGGCACACCACCTCTGACCTATATGAAGAGGTGATATTATTTGTTCACTTGTTTATTAGATATCTCCACCCACTAGATTTTTTTATGAAGGCAGAAAGTTTGCCTGTATTGAGGCCTGCTGTGCTCCGGGTTCCCAGCCCTAGAGCAGCAATGGCTGACACATAGCAGTGCTCAGTAAATATATTAGATGGATGTATAAACAGTGAAGTAGCAGGAGTGCTAACCTTCAAACAAAACTGAAAAATCAAAATTTAAATAATCAGTTAATTTATGTGTGTGTGTGTGTGTGTGTGTGTGTGTGTGTGTGTGTGTGTATGTACGAAAGTTTATATACTTTCATATATAAAATCCTGGGACATTCACAGTGACCCATTGAGGTAAACAGGTATACTTTCTATGCTTCATGCATGGAGACCAAGACTTGGAGAGATTAAGTGACTCACCTAATGTCACTCAGTTACTGTATGGTAAGCGGTTTCAAACCTAATGCTATTTTAACTACACCATGACTGATACTTCTGTCTTTTAAAAAATGGACTGACAAGTGGCACATAGCCTTATTTGAAATAGGTTCTGTATTACTCCACTAAAACCATGGAGTTGATTTATGTGCAAATGTTCAAGAACATATTTCTCATATAACAGTTAACACTTACTTTGAGCTTCATTCAAACACCATTGATTAATTTTTTCTATCCTATGATTTTCACTGAAATCTCATTGCTGCACTACATAGGTAATATGTGAAAAGATACATTCAGAGGGAAAAGTGACGAGGCATTAAGGATACAAGAAACTCGCTGGGCTCAAAACTCACTCAAGAAAAACTACACCAAGAAGTGCCCCAAAAGCCTAGTAGGAATGACTGAAACAGCTGGAGTTTTAGTCATCCAGAGTAGTGGTTCTCCCCTTTACGGGGCCTGAGAATCACCTGCATGTTTCCCAACCCCACTCCCAAGGAATTTGAATTCCTCTGGGTGTGTGTGTGTGTATTTTTTTTTTTTAAGATTTTTAATGGGGAATTGGGGTGATGGGAACAGTGCTGGAGAATTGAGTGAAGGGGAACAGACAAGTTGCTGTCCTTTTGTTCTTCAGTCTAGTTGTGGAGGACATTGTTTCACTGGCCCAAAAGCACCATCATTGCGCTCTTCCCGGGAGAGGCAGATCAGTCGCCGGCTTCTGGACGGCCGCTCACTGTGGCTGCTGGCCGCTCACGCTGGCTGCTGGC